ACTCCACCCCCTCCCTCTCCCCCCCCAATACCCAGCAGAAACTATTTTGCCCTTATTTCTAATTTTGTTGTAGAGAGAGTATAAGCAATAATAGGAAAGAACAAGAGTTTTTGCTGGTTGAGATAAGGATAGCTATACAGGGCATTGACTCACATTGATTTCCTGTGTGGGTGTTACCTTCTAGGTTAATTCTTTTTGATCTAACCTTTTCTCTAGTACCTGTTCCCCTTTTCCTATTGGCCTCAGTTGCTTTAAGGTATCTGTTTTAGTTTCTCTGCGTTAAGGGCAACAAATGCTAGCTAGTTTTTTAGGTGTCTTACGTATCCTCACCCCTCCCTTGTGTGCTCTCGCTTTTATCATGTGCTCATAGTCCAATCCCCTTGTTGTGTTTGCCCTTGATCTAATGTCCACATATGAGGGAGAACATGATTTTTGGTTTTTTGAGCCAGGCTAACCTCACTCAGAATGATGTTCTCCAATTCCATCCATTTACCAGCGAATGATAACATTTCGTTCTTCTTCATGGCTGCATAAAATTCCATTGTGTATAGATACCACATTTTCTTAATCCATTCGTCAGTGGTGGGACATCTTGGCTGTTTCCATAAATTGGCTATTGTGAATAGTGCCGCAGAAATTCCACACATTTAGATAATTTATAATAATACACACAAATTTAGGAAGTAATAACTAATTTTAAGCTCTGGAATGAAAAATAATATTGTATATATGAAAAGAATGTTTAACCCTTTCATAATTGGGTAAAACTGTTTTGCATTTACTTAATGGAAGTAAGATTAATTTTAATGAATAACTCAGAATACTGAATGTGTGACTACTGAATGTTTCTATCAGGGAAAAGTGGTGAATTATTTCATCCCATCACATTGTTTTGGAGGAAAAGTAAAAGACACAGAAACTCAGATTATGGAATTCGAACCAAAAGAAAAAATTCAGTGCCCCCGTAAGTATGTCTCTCTAAGAAAATACATTCTTACAGTGATTTTTGTCATTTTTTTTTCGTGTCTTGTAATTGTATGAATAATTGTTTTTGTAATTGTTATACTTTGTATAAATGGTTTTAACTGTAAGTCATATCTTAATAAAAATAAAGAGTTACTCTTTGTTTCGCTTGTGCAGGCACTTACTTGATTTATTGTATTTAGATTTCACAGCCCAGGATTGAAACCAAGCTTTGTTTATTCTCAAATACTACTAGCAAATGAGTTGCCTTTACTAATGGTACACAGACAGGATAATTATGAGAGTTGTCTTTTATAATTTTGAATGGTTGTTGTTTTGTAAGACTAATAAATTAACCTGAATAATTTATCCCTAGATTATTTCTATTACAATAATTTTTTATTTCAATTATTTTTCTTAGTCCTCAATATACATTAAGATTAACCAAGTTTCATTTTCATTTCATGTTAACCATTTTGGCTAAATTAGCATATCCTTTGCATTTAGCTACACGTGTGATGATCCTGACAGCTGTGAAAGAAATGAATGGAAAAAAAGGCGTTTCTATCCTTTCCATCTACAAGTATGTCAGTTCTATATATAGATATGATGTTCAGCGAAACAGGAGTCTTCTGAAACGGATGCTGAAATGTTTAATTTTTGAAGGTCTTGTGAAACAAATCAAAGGCCATGGTTTCTCTGGGACTTTTACATTGGGGAAGAATTATAAGGAAGAAGATATATGTGATAAAACAAAAAAACAGGTATTTTTTTTCAGCATTTATTCAGTACTTTTATCTATATGTGTTGCCTTACAGAATAAGTTGACAGACCTCTACTTTGACCTTGAAGCTCTTACAGTCTGAAGATAAAATAAACACCTAGTTAGGGAAAGCACTTATGGCAATGGCTTATGTTTTCTCCCTTCTGAATGTAAGCTCCAGAGGAGTAGAAACTTAATTTTCATCTCCATTAAGCCCAGAGCAGAGCACTTGGCACATAACAAGTACTTAGTTGGGTGAGTTATAAAACTAGTTGGGTAGACATATTATCAGTTTAAGATAACTTCTTTATTTTATCATGTGCTGACAGAAGTTAAAAAGTTTGATTCACACTTTAGCAATATTAATAATGCCTTAAATTTGCATAATGCTTTTTAAACATTTCTAATCTTTCATATAAAATTCTCATTTTCCCAATGTTGTCATCTTATAAAACTTTTTTATTTTGTTAGAAAACTGCTTCCATTTGGCCAGCAATTTCAACTTGCTTTTAGGAAAATATTTGCAAACATAAATCAAGAAAAGACCAATGACAACCAGTCAAAATATGCAGCTACCAGATTGTCCACTGTGAAAGAAACAGCAGAAAAAAATTATATTTCCTGGAATAGGGAGTTCCTATATTATCCCCAGGCATCACAGAAGACTACAGTGAACTTCTATGCCTTTAGTAATCCTGCTGCTATCAGAAAATCTCCTCCAATTAATGCCATTGATTCTGTGTTAAGTGTCCTAACTCTTCTGTTTGACCTTAGCTCTGACACCACTTGGAAGGAGGTATTCCTACCACCTGTCTGCTCATCACACCCCCACTATGTTATATACCCCTCTTAGGTATTGCTATAGTACATTTCACTTTTTATTATTCAGAGACCTCTTGAGACCAGGGACCATATATTACCTATATTTATATCCTTAACATCTAATTATTCAAAAATAAATGCAGCAGGGGGCACAGAAAGTGAAAGAATAGGAATTTATTTGCTATTTGCAGTAAGTAGTACATTAACTTATTTTTTGAAGTACTTGGTGCTTTTGTAATTGCCCTTGTTTGTATGTTTATGTACTGTAAACTTGTACTATTTCATTGACTTAAGCAGACTATAAATTATAAGAAGTTAATACCAAAATGTCAATAGCTCTGTTTATCTTTCTGATCTTTGTTGTCTTCAGATCATACTTACATGGAGTAGAGCCTTTCACTTCTCTGCAGACTATAGAGAGGGTTCTGACAGTATAGATTAGAAAGCACTTAGCAAGAAAAAAGGGTAGCAAAGACTGGCTACTGGACTTTTTGTAAAGTATGTACAGAAAGTTGGGAGTTTAATTTCAGAAATATAACTGTTGGAATAAGTTAATTATATAATATTTTTATAGGCAGTAGGAAGCCCAAGGAAAGTTCAGAAAGAATCCAGAAAAACAGGGAACAAGGACACAGACTCTGAATATTTACCATCAGACACTTCCGATGATGATGATCCTTATTATTACTACTGTAAGGCCAGAAAAAATCGTAGTAAACTGAGGAAAAAGCCTGTTTTTCTCACAAAAAAAGGAAAAAGTCAGCCTACCATCAATCCTGATTCACAAGGTTACTGTCCAGCTACTAGAGATTCTGCAGTTACTGATGTTTCTGTGTGCAGAAGTACATGTGCCTCTGAAGTCAAGCAAGATCAGGAAGCAAAGGACCATGCTAACTCTCTAAGTGCTGCTGGTCATGAGGTGCCCCATCATAACACCATGAGTCCCTATGATACCGCTGACTATCGCTTTGAGTGCATATGTGGTGAATTTGACCAGATAGACCGCAAGCCTCGTGTTCAGTGCCTGAAATGCCACCTCTGGCAACACGCAAAATGTGTGAATTATGAAGAGAAGAACCTGAAGATTAAGCCTTTTTACTGCCCCCACTGCCTCGTTGCAATGGAGCCAGTATCGACAAGAGCTACTCTGATCATCTCTCCAAGTTCCATCTGTCATCAGTGGGTGGAAGAGATCAACCGGCATGTGAGGTCTTCATCTCTTCGAGTCTTGGTAAGACACTTCGGGCTGAAGAGGGATAGAAACATGTAAATTTTTATATCCTCAAGATAGTTTTTATAATCTAGGGTTGCTTTTTGCTTGTCTTCATAGCTAAATTGTTGATATAATAGTAATATTGTCAGAGCTTTAAAAGGAAATTGAAAATAAGAAATGGGAGACTATATTCTTTCCTGACTTCAGAATTTCAGAAGTTAAGGCGCTATGAGTAGAAAGAAGGAAAGCTTTTCCAACAATTCTTGATCACGTCAGTAATGGAAAAGAATTGGGTTATCCCTTACTCTCAGAGAGAAATATAGTCTAATCACTGCGTTATGTAATTTTAGCTGCCTGTCTGATCTGTCACCTCTTAGCTCCAGAATTGTCCACTGAAGCCTCAGTTACTTCATTGGTGAAATGAAAGTTTACGCATTTAACAAATTTTTTTGAGCACCTATTCTGTGCTGGCAATTGTACTAAGTTCTGAAAATGATACCAGTCACAGACTTACTATGAAGATGAAATGGTGTGATAAAATATTAACACATACTAAGTGGTCAATGAGTGTTACTGTTTATTAGCTTTGTCCATTCTTCTTTGATGCAAATGTTATTATAAGTTTTTTACATTTCGGCTACTATCATAGTTATGAATAAAATAATAAATAAATTACAGTTTTTGCCATTGAATGACTTTGCTCTGTGTGAGTAGGCAAACTTTAGTTTGAGTCTTAGTTCTTTCAGTTTTGAGCAAGTCACTGATGTTTCTTATGTGCAGGGTAGGAACAATAACCACTAACAGGATTGTTGTTCAAGTTTGAAGATAATGCTTAGCCCAGGATCTGAAACATGAGAGGCGTGTTATACTACATTTTCATGCCATTGTGCCCTCACACAGCTACTGATTCTATCTTCCTATCAACCTGTTACAGTTCCTTTTGTATTGCTCATGTTATTTATCTTCCACACTAAAACATGTCTTTCTTTAGACAGGTATGAGATCTGTCTCTGAGCATGTGTGGTAGTACACAAATTGAAAGAGCTCAGTAATGGAATAAATGAATGTTCATTTGTCTTTGAAAAGCCTTTTTTGTAATAACTATTGGTGCTGATTATTTCCTAGGTATATCAAGGAGTGAAGAAAGATGGCTTCTTACAGCCTCATTTCTTGGCAGAACAGGACATAGTTATCATTACGTATGATGTCCTTCGTTCAGAACTAAACTATGTTGATATCCCACATAGCAATAGTGAGGATGGGCGTCGCCTGCGGAACCAGAAGCGATATATGGCCATTCCCAGCCCTCTAGTGGCTGTGGAGTGGTGGCGGATCTGCCTTGATGAAGCTCAGATGGTTGAATGTCCTGCAGTAAAAGTAAGAGACTCTAAAATCTCTTGAGAGTTGGGGAAGAAAAGGAGAACTTGAACAATTTAATAGTTGAGATACAGTTTACCCATAGCGTTGATATTGGCTGAACATTAGCTGTTAAACACTGTACATTTCCTTTTCTCTAGTGCTGGGAACTACATAACCATTTGGAATTATTTTCATACTGTGACTCATTGCTCTGTATGCAGTACTCAGATATATTTGGATAAGATGTCAGTATGTGTACAATATAAATCAAAGCAAAGTGTATTTAGGGCTTTTTAAAGAATTTCTGCCAACTAGGCTCTGGTTTCTTTGAGCCAAAGTTTACTTTGGCAGTTTAGTCTCTACAAGAGATCCAATGGTTACAGAAAATGCCATCTTAGGGCACAGAATTTTGATTCAGCCTTCATCATATATGTTTATTCTGTCTTCTTTGACCAGTCTGTAACCTGAACTAAATTCATGAATCAACTATTACCAAAGAAATTTCCATGTGTTGTATGTAGTGGTGTATTTTGGGGGATATTAGTCATTCAGCCTTGAGTGTGATAACTGTTAAATAAAGTAGGTGCATCTCACACGAAGCATAGCTTTCCATGCCCGTTTTCATGAATGAAAGGACACCTGACTTCTGCATTCTTCCTGTGACTCTTTGCTTTTTTATGAATTTCATGTTTTTCTCTCCTCAGGCTGCAGAAATGGCCCAGCGTTTGAGTGGAATTAATCGATGGTGCATCAGTGGCACTCCAGTACAGAGAGGATTGGAGGGTAACATAGGGTTTCCACATATATTGCCTGTATTTGAAAAGCTTACTGCTTCTGAGGAATAAGTACTATACATTTAACTTCTTGAAGTCCTTATTCAAGTGAATGTAATCATAGTTCACTTCAGATAGTTTCAAGCATTTATCTTCTTAAATGGAATTCATTTGATTTTTCTGGTTATGTGAGTGAGGACAGATGTATAGTGAGTAGTCCCATTGCCTTAAATTGAGCAATTGTTGTACCTACTAAACAGTATAGGTATAAATCTGAATTGAGCTTATGAGTTCTAAGTAGCACGTAGACAACAGAAGGAATCTGACGCAGAGAGAAGACAGAAAAGAGAAAGAGGGAGGAGACGAAGGGCATTAATTTCAATTGACTGTGACTGTTAAAATAGGGATCATAATTTTCATTTAATCCATGTGGGATCATAATCTTTCTAATTTTAAAAGTTACAAAATAATAATAGATTTGTGATGCTATACGATAGTCATATACTGTTACTTCTTCAGCCATTCCACCTCCTAAATGATTATGTTCACTCTAGTCCTTTTCTGCCCTCCACATACACTGTGACATTTCTACATCAATCTAACTCTTATTACTTACTTTGTCCATAGAAAAGACACTGTATTTTTAAAACCTTTATTCAGATTGTGAATACTTAAAACTAAATTTAAAGTAAATATCATTTTTATGTTTCCTGAAAAGCTATCATTAAAATGTAGTTAAGTTAAAAATTTAAATATACTTGGAGTCTAGTAGTTTTAATTCATCTATAAGAGTTAGCTTTCTGAAAATTCAAGTTTTCATATATTATCTTTGATTTTGACAGGATAACTTATTATTGTGCTAAAATTAAAATACCAACATCCATTACTACCACCTCAAAAATGATTTCCTGATGGCTAATTTTAGGGGAAAGTTTTTGTAGGAAGATTATAAGTAATTACTTAAGTATTCACATAATTTAAATGCTTCATTAATTTAACCTTTGTATAGAATAATAGCAGGCTCATTAGAAGGCCAGATTTAGCAACCTTCTTTCATATTTCGAAGCTGCAAACATTACAGATATTTAGACATTATTAAGACCCATTCTGCTCAGAAGTTAGCTGGAAGAGTGTAAAAAAGAATGACTGTGAGAATTACTGTCTTTCATTTTAATGTTGAAGGAGCATGAGCAATAATTCATCACTTCCCTGGGTAGGTTATTTTAGAGATGGATCATGTTGGCAGGTGTTTTGAGTGCTTGTCACCATTCAAAAATTGAGTAATTAAAAAGAAGTTTTGAGCTTTATTGATGTATAAATCACATATAATAAAACTGTTAACTACTTAAAGTGAGAAATTTGATAAGTTTTGTCATATGTGTATTTTCACGAATCTATTTCCACAATAAGACAATCATGCTCCAAAGTTTCCTCATGTTCCAAATCACCTGAAAAACAGTTTTTACCAAACTTCCCCTTTTACCAAACTGTTTTTACCAACAGTTTTACCAAACTACTTGTCTTTTCTTTTGCTTCCGTAACTCTCTGGTATCTTTAGCACTTATGCATTCTTGCAGTGTGTCTGTATTTTCTAGTTGTTAAGGTATGAATGTTAGCTTGCCCGTATTTTCCTGGGTTGTATTTGTATGTAGAAGTCCCACTTGTTTTCTTTTTTGTGTTAAACCAGTGTTCATCAAATTTGTCACTGTTGACATTTTGAGCCACTAATTCATTTTCACTGGGGATTGTCCTGTGTGTAATGGGATATCCAGCTCCTATCTGCTAGATGCTGGTAGCATTTCTGTAATTCTGATACCACAGGTGTTCCAGACATTGTCTTGAATCCCCTAGCAAGCAAAATTGTGCACATTCAGTTCCACCTCAGCGTTGAGCTAAACTGATTATGCTAGACTGATTGAGAATCACATTTGATAATTTGTTAATTAGCGACAACCCAGAGATCTTGTGAATCTTAGATTGGCCACATACTGATCAAGGAAATGAAGGTAGAATATTTTCATTCCATAATTTCCTAGATCTTAAGTATGTTCTGATGGCAGACTGAAATGCTGTCAGTCTTCTTGGAAAGTCAAGCAGGCAAGAAAGCTGCTCACCCTCTTCTCACCACCCTGTACACCTCATGTCTATTTAATACACTTATTTGTGTAACATGCAAACCTTTGGCTTGAGGATATATAATCTTGGGGTACATTCTAACTTATTAGCTGTATGCCCATAGATAAGTTGCTTAAACATCCAAACTTTACTTCCTTATTTATAAAATAAGGTGTTTTAAGGATTAATTATAGTAAATTATATAAAGCATTCAGCACAGTGCTTGGCAGATATTAAATATACAATGAATGATAACTGCTTCCACTTCTACATTTGTCTTTATTTTTTATTTATCTAGCTATTATTCATTTAGTTTCTTTGAAAGTGTTGACTTTAAATAACTTGAGTTCTTTGTAATGCATTTGTTTCATTTAGTGCATGTGAAGTATTATGGTGAGCAAAAATAGACAAAGTCCCTAACCTTTTCAGCTTACACATTGCATAGAGAGTTACAGTTATTAAGTACTTGCACAAATATTAAATTAGAATCAAAATCACTTTTTTACAAAGAGAAAAATATAAAGTTCTAACTAATTGGATTTTGTAAAGAAGACATCACATAATAAGGAAGAAGTGACGATTGAGCTGAGATTTGAAACATCATGATCTACGTGAATGGGGAGGAGGAGTTCTTCAGCATAATGAAACAGAAAATAGGAATATCTTAGGCAGCAGAAGACTGAAAGGGTCAGTGCAGCTAGAGCACAGATCAAAGAGTTAGGGAAAATGTGCGTGGAGAGACTGAGTAGGTGGCTAAAGATAGGACATGGGCAACCTTGCATGCCATAATAAAGAATTTATTTTCCTTGGTAGTACTGGAGTTTGAACTCAGGACTTCACCCTTACTAGGCAGGTACTCTTACATTTGAGCCACATACCCAGGCTGTTTTGCTTTAGTTATTTTTCAGATATAGTCTTGCATTTTTGTCTGGGCCTAGCCTCAGACAGTTATTCTCCTACCTATGCCACCTGCATAGCTGGTATCACAGGCATGTACCAACCATCCAGCTTATTGATTGAGGTGGGGTCTCACTAACATTTTGCTCTGACTGACCTCCATCCACAGTTACCTCTCTACCTCACTCTCCACAGTAACTGGGATTATAGGCATGAGATACCATGCTGGCCACTGGCTTTTTTAATTTATTTTATTTTAAAAAATGGGAGCAATTGAGAGGAGTTTACACAGTGGTTTGGGGTCATATTGTAGATAGATAGATACATAGATAGATAGATTGATTTCCAAAGATTGCTCTACTTGTAGTGTGGAGAATGAGTTTAGAAGAGCAGGAGAGTGGATGTCAGACAATACTTGATTGGTTGCGGTAAGTAATTTAGGCAAGTAATGGATTTGGATTAGGATTGTCCTGGAGACACAGAAAAAAATAGATAAGGAAAATTAACAATGCTTGGGGATAGCCTGGGAAATGCCAAGATTTCTGACTTGCATAAATCCTACAATTTGAATAACACCAGAAAAAAAAGCAAGTAGGTTGTGAATTTGATTTTGGCAGGTAGAATTTGAGAAGCCTTTGGGACCTCACAGAAGAAGGAGCACATTGATAATTGGATTGATTTGAGCTGAAATATGAGTGTTTGGATCTCTGCATATAGGCAGTGATGCAATGTTCTTTCATATGTTACTAACTCCCAGGTAACATATGGGAGTTAGTTAAGTTGAATTAACTTAATTCAATCTAAATATTTGTCATTTTCAAATAGTCAGGATATTTTTAAAAAATAATTACTATGCCTTTTGAAGAGAATATATACTCATTATAAGAAATGTTAACAATACAGACAAGTACAAGGAAAATTATACTCACCTGTAATCTCCATTTGAAGACAAAAGCCACATCTAGGGCTGGGGGTGTGACTCAAGTGGTAGAGTGGCTACTTAGTGAGCACGAAGCCCCGTATTACATGAAGAAAGGGGATAACACACATATACTTTTCTATATAAACATTTTTTGTATTTCAGCTCACTATATGCATTTTTTTTTCACGTAACATTTGTATCTTTAACAGTTTCCCATATGTTAAAAAACTCATCACAGGTAAATATATGAAAAACTACTTAGGTTATGTCAGATGGAGCAATGGAATATAAAACTGAGTGTGCCCAATCAAGAAATGTATAAGGAGTACTGTGCTCTAGCACTAGTAATGAAGAACTGCCAGATCAAAACAGAAAAATAGCTCTGTATGAGGGTACCATAATTTACTCATTTTTCTTTATTGAAGTCATTTAGTCCTATGTATTGTAACAAATCACTAAGTGAATCTTACTTTGTTTTTTTTAATCACTAGGCTTGTTTCTTAGAAGTGGAATTGCTAGATCAAAGGTTTTGAGGCAGATTGGAGAATATCATAGGTGATTCTCCATATCACTTGTGCGATTAGAAATTTTCTTCTGATCCAACAAGTCTTGCCTTGATGCATTTTATTTCTTAGCCAAGCATACTCCATTAAATGGTTTTTCTGGTTTTCTCTGATAGTAATTTCAGACTTTGTTTGTTGGTTCTATAAAACTTTACAACATTTAAGCAGTTAGAATGAAACAGCAAAATAGATTCTCAGTAAGTTGAGTTGGAGTTAAATTTTAGATTCAAGAGACTAAATCTGCATTTGAATTCATGGAGAATACTGTGTGTTTTGTAATATATGTGAAAGTGCTTATTCAAAATAGTAAAGGAAAAGCACAAAACCACTTATTGTGCTTTGGCTTTTTTTTTTCTTTTCAGATCTCTTTGGGCTAGTCGTCTTTCTTGGTGTCGAACCTTACTGTGTCAGACACTGGTGGGTTCAACTTCTCTACCGCCCTTACTGCAAGAAGAATCCTCAGATCCTCTACAGCTTTATTGCCAAGATACTGTGGAGGTCTGCAAAGAAAGATGTGATTGACCAAGTCAGTATTTTTATTGATTGAGGATATTATAAGAAAAAAAAAAAAAGTTGAGATGAAAAGTTAAATTTTCACTTGAAATCCTTTTATTTTCACCTCCTCATTCTAGATCCAGATACCACCTCAGACTGAAGAGATACACTGGCTCCACTTTTCTCCAGTGGAAAGACATTTCTATCACCGTCAGCACGAGGTGTGCTGCCAGGATGCTGTGGTGAAGCTCAGGAAGATTTCTGACTGGGCTCTGAAGCTCAGTAGCCTGGACAGAAGGACAGTCACCTCCATCCTGTACCCATTGCTGAGGCTCAGGCAGGCCTGCTGCCACCCACAGGCTGTTCGTGGGGAGTTCCTGCCACTACAGAAAAGGTCTTATTGTCTGTTTCCTTATCCTGCACTTGATAATATTACAATAATAAATAATTTAGCAATTACATTTTGACTCACAGTTTTCTTCAGGGACTTGAAACTGAGTGTCAGATTTTTTTAGTGATGTGGTACATTTCCTTTATATGGAACCACGTTTGTGAAAGAATCATCTCAAAATTATTTTTGTGATTTTGAACATTTCTTATAAAGTGTTGGCTGTTCAGTTGGTTGCTGTTTTGGTTTGGGGAGTTTTTTTTTTCGGCTGTATTTTATGAAAGACTTTTGTTCTAATTACATTTCTTCGTTCCCACATCAGGGAGTTTGATTACCATTAAGTATTTTCTTTATAATTGTATTAGCTATATCTTTTGGGTTTTTTCCTTCTAAAAAGATTAGGGGATTTTTGTCCTTACTACTTTGTTATCCCAGAAAATTTGTCTGAATTAGAGTGCACCTCAAAAACTGTCCAATTTTTAGCATCTGGTATTCGAAAGAAACCCTGGTAGATACCATAGAGATATAAACAATATCAGATGCCCTTACCTTTGAGTAAATGATAGACAAGTAGTGGAAGTAAAACCAAAGATCATAAACTTGAATAATTTTCAGTAAATAAGATAAATTTTGTAAATGATACGTAGAAATTCTTATGGAAACAATTTCTGTTTGAATGGCTAAAGATAGGCAGTATTCTAGTGGAAATGACGTTTGACAAGATCCTTGATGGGTCTTCATATTTTTTTGTAGATTTGAAAAAACTCAGGCACAGAAGGCTAATTAATTAGGTTGCAATGCTGGGATTACTCTCACACCCATTCCATTTCAAATGCATCATTTTACTATATACTGTAAAAAGATTTTTCTGTCCCTTGACCAAAATGGGAAAATCTTTAAAATGATGTGACCAGATAGAAGAATGGTTGCTAGAATAGTAAGAAATAATCAGTAAAAATGTGGATGAAGAGTGCTGAAGGTGTTGCAAGAGTGCTTGCTCTTTATTTTTGTGATACGGTACTCCTACTGAAGTAACACTTAGGGTTCTCTTTCTAGTTTTAAATGGTTTGCCTTTTCTTTTAGCACCATGACAATGGAAGAGCTGCTGACATCTCTGCAGAAGAAGTGTGGCACTGAATGTGAAGAAGCTCACCGGCAACTGGTCTGTGCCCTTAATGGCTTAGCAGGCATCCATATCATTAAAGGTAGAAGGTGATTGTTTTGTTATCTCAGGTTCTTCAAAGACTTTTTGAAAAAAGTTAATTATACTTAAGATCAGCACACTAAAAAAAATGCATTCTCACACACTTGATTGTAATTTAAATAACTTCCATTTAATAGGGAGCAGTGCTTCAGGACCTTTCCAAATTCAGTTTACATGTGCTTTTTCCAGACGTTTCCACTTTGGAAAACATGCGTGACTATGCGTGACTAATGTGACTATGGTTAGCGATACATAAGAACTAACATGCATCAATGCGAGACTTGTTGGAGATGAAAAAAATATTGAATTATATAGGTAATATGGAGAAATCACCCATGATATTTTCTGATCCAGTATTCCTCATAATCTCTGATCTAGTAATTCCAGTTCTAAAACAAGAAGCCTGATAAAAAATACAGACAAGTGGAGTTATTCCAGTGGGAGGGGGAAGACATAGGGTGAAGGAGGGCAAAATGGTGGAAATATTATGTAGTCATGTATGAAAATGAAACAATGAAACCTGTTGAAAGTATTCTAAGAAAGGGGAAGGGAGATAAAGAAGAATGATGGAAGGGGAGGTGACTCTAAGATATATTGTAAACACTGCTATAAATGTCACAAAGTACCCTGCAGTACAATAATAATATGCTAATAAAAAAATAAAATAAAAACCTAAAGTACAAAAAGTATATAAAGGCACAATTTGATTATAGTAAATTAAGACTATCTGTTCAACAAAGGATATCATGGATAAAATTGACAGTAACAGATTGGGAGGACTTGATTTATATGCTGATAAACTGACTAGAGATTAATGAAATATTTCTTGCACCTCAGCAAGAGAAATGCCTGAACTCCAGTAGAAAAATGAGATATGAGTAGCAAATTTGTATAAAATTAAAACAAATGAAACCAAACGGGCAATACAAGGAGATGACAGAAATTTATTGAAATAAAAAAATATCAAACCCCATATGACTGGCAATTAAATTGTACAGACAAGATTTACTCATAGTGATTTATAACAACAATAAGAGGATTAAATGACTGAAATAAAGAAATGTGAGCAAAGGTTTGCCAATCAGATGTTAATCTTAGTCTTTTCTAGAGATGATTAAAAACAACCAAAATACCTAGAAAAGGAAGAATGGTTAAATTTTAGCACAGTATTGTTTATTGATCTTAAAATAATGTTATGTGTAAATTGATTTTTCTCACAAATATTTACATGCCAGAAATAATCTAGGAAAGGTGATGCAAAGTAAAGTCTCAGACATTATGGACTTTAAATTCTTTCAGGAGCACATACAAACACACAGATGCCCAGGTACACGCACACATAATGTATATGTGTAAAATTACAGTTATATGTTATACACACAATTAAGGCAGGTCAGAAAGAGCCTCAGTTGTTACACAGAAGGGTGTTTACTTGGCTATTTCCCTTAAGAATTACTGTTTTTCTTGCTGTATGTGTAATATTTTGTAAATTGTCATTTCATGTATCTTGTCTGTTACTTCAGTTGTTGTAGGAAGGAAATTAAAGCCATTTGCTGTTAGTCTATTTTAACTGGGAGCAGAAGATACATAATCTTACACTTTCAGTAAACACATTTGGGAAACACCTTCCCATAGAATCATTAGAACTATGCTCTGTAGATACAAGAGTAAAGATTTAAAATGTTAAGTGGATATGAAAATATAAAATCAAACTTCTAAAGATGAAAATTTCAGTGTCTGATATGGAACATTGACTAGTAAACAATTGGGCAAAACTTGGGAAGATTTGTGTCATGTCTAATACAGCTTTCACAGTGCTGAGTTAATTGGACAGGATAATTGTCATTAGAGTTTGTAGATTATTGATTATCACAAATGAGAAATCCATCAATCTATGTTTGCCCTTGAAAATGTAGCAGAAATGAGGGTTTTTTTTTTTTTTTGGTTTTTTTGGAGACAAGGCTCCGCTACATAGCTCAGGCTGACCTTCAAGTTGCCGTATTGCTCTGTAGTCCAGGCTGTCTTGAACTCATGATCCTCCTGACTCAGCCTCCTGAGTGCAAGGATTTGTGTGCCAACACACCCAGCTGAAAAAATGCTCGTTTTTATATCATACATGATGCTTTCAGACGTGAATGCCATTTTATCCTACAAATGCCAATGACTGATGCATTACCCTTACTTTATTTAAGGAAACAGGTGAAGTTCTTTCTTAAGATTATAGTTAATAAAGTGACAGAATGTGCTCTGAGTCATTTGATTTGTAATTAAGCACTAAGTTTTTCATGATGCTCTGCTTCCTTATCAAATAAATACTTATAAACCCCAATATTATGCCATCTGTAGTAGGTTGAAGCTCAGAAAAATTTCTAAAGTGTGATTGATAGAATACTTACAGATTATCCCAGTAGCAAAACTAAATTTCACCTTTCCCATCTTGATTTTAAAATTGCATTTCTCATTTCATTCTAGTTATAACTCAAAAAGCTTACACAGTGAATGAATTTCCTTTCTTGACCTTTTTCTTGTCTCCCTTTCAGGGTTATTGTTGCCTCTTCCTGCTTTGAAGTTAGGGCTGGGGGGAAAAAAAATAGCAGCTTCCTAATCTGATCATTTCCAGACCAGCTCTGCAACAGGGTCAGCATGTAGCTGCCTCCTGCCTGGCCAAGGACCATGCTGCACTCCTGCTCTAGTCCCTTGTCTGTCTGAGGATGGAATTAGAGCAAATTAATGCTAGTTATCAAGAGAAACCCCCAAAGAAAGTCCATTAATACAGGACATGTTCTTGTCCCTTGAATGTAATTAGTTATCAACTTAATGGCAATGGACTTGCTGCTCTTAGTTTCTGTTACTTACCCTTATAACCTGTTAAACAGTATCTATCTTTAAAAGTTGCCTTACAGATTGACCTTCCATTATTTAAATTCTTCTAATGAGGACATCAATAAAATGATCTAACTTTAAAGAAACCTAAAGTTACTTTCAAATTGTAGAAAGAGTTGCTTATTATATGTGAATGTAGTATGAACTAAGGAAAGGAATGTTCTTGGGTCCTCATTAACTGGTGTTAAACTCATGGTATCCAAGCTGTGAACACCATGCAGATACTTTTTGGAGAAATTGAGCTTGGCAATATCAAACGTAGTACAGTTTATTCACTTAGAAATGTTAGTGCTATCAAGTGGCTAAGAAGGGTATTTTCAAATGGGGCTTAAATTTGTAAAATTTATTGAAAATACGTATTTTGTGTCTTCCTCAGCAAGATGTATTTCTTAAGTGTACATAAAACGGGTATAATAATGAATAGTTCCAATTCAGCTGTTTATATTACAGTATAGTCACTATATGAAGGAAGAATGGCTTAATGAGTTATTCTCTAGATGATAGTATAAATCCTCTCCCTATGCCTACTGAATACCATTAATCAAGAATCTTAAAAACTAGGGCTAGAGCCAGGGCTCAAGCAATAGAGCACCTGCCTTGCAAGCATGAAGCCTTGAATTCAAACCCCAGTACCACCAAAAGAAAAAAAATTCTTAAAAACTAAAACCAAGCATGGTGACACACATCTGTAGTCCCAGCACTCTGGAGGCTGAGGCAGGAGGATCTGAGAGTTCAAGGCCAGCCTGAGCTACTGAGTGAGCCCTTGACGCCAAAAAAGAAAGAAAAAAGAAAATTTTCATGTGAAGATAATGGAATGCCCCTACATAATGTCATAGGATTTTTTATTGTGAAAATAACCTCTTTTGTCCCGCATCGAAGTGCATAGACATCAGCTGACTGCAGTACTGTGACAGTGTGCTTTAAGACCTAGATACAAAGCAACAGTGTGAGAGCACATTTTGTACCACAGAGAAGATATGCATCATACTGCTGAACCTCACACTTAAACTGGTGGAAATAATACATTTTATTCCACGTATTTTACTACAAGTAATTTCAGCTTTAACAGAAGAGAACTAGCTGAACAATCTATAAAAGGGTGTGTGTACAGAAAGCCGATTATGCACACATGGTATTAATAAAACTAGTTGATTCCTGTGATATTCAGGAAAGACATTCTTGACAAACAAACTGGAACATTTCTACACCATTTTTTTTCGTATTTTGTGATTTTGCCACTGTTAGCTCTTAATTTTAATTGTATTTATAATTTACCAGTTTTGAATTTTTCCCCCAAATAGCAAATAAAGTAGATTCTAATATTCAAGCCACTACAAATGCTTCATCTCCCCCTTTCCTTCTGGTGTCTCTGAGTTTTTCTGTAACGAGCCAGGTAGTCTCTTAGGCCTGGTGAGTCAGTCTTAGGACCTCTGTGCAACCCCATCCCTGCTCTTGTTAGCGCGGAAACACCCACAGGCCGTATGAGGACTCGGGCTCTAGTAGAACTTTATTCGTGGCCCATTTGATTTCACTTAATTTTCACATATCAAAAAACATTACCCTTTGGAATTCATTTCAAATGTTTAAAACTGTAAAACCAGGCTAGGGATATAGCTCAGTGGTACAGCACTTGCCTGGCACAGCACTTGCCTGGCATGTGCAGGGCCATGTTCAATCCCCAGCCCCTCCCCCCTGCCCCCCCTCCCCCCTGCCCCCCCCCCGGCCAAAAATGAAAAAAATAAAAAGATAAAAGTTGTTCTTACTTGATAAGCCATATAAAACACAGAGGGTCAGACATAACTCATTTGGCAAGCTTTGCTTGATAGATACTTTTTGAATTGCTTTATTTGAATGATCTGCTGACTATGAACAAAAGAAAAGAGGATACAGTTCAGATTAATTGTGATTTTTGACCAGAAGAGGAAAGATTTCTAAGGGTTTTATTTTTTGTGTAGTTCTTTGGTTGGGTGTTTGTATTGGTTTTAGAGCCCAAGCTGGCCTGGAACTGACTCTGTAGCCAGGCTGGCCTCTAATTCCCAATCACCTTGCCTCAGCCTCCCTAATACTGGGATTATAAGCATGTGCCACTATGCTCAGCAATAAGTTTTTGAAATGTAGTTTTTAATTGCAAATTATTTGAGCCTGGTACTAAGAAAAATAATATCTACAAAGAAGAGTGTATTTTTTTCTGAGAATTGGATTTAGGTTGGTTATAGTATGTTGAACATTTCTTTATAAATGCCTACATTTATCCCAAATTTGTTCATAATTTCGAAATCATAATGACTACTAATTAGTACCTTTTAACTTCAATAAGGACTATTATTTATCTAAATTCAGGGTTCATTTTTCATTGTTATTTTTAAAATGTAAACATATCTTGCTGTAAATATATATCAGTATAATTTGAAATCATTATAAATATATAAATATTATAATATTTATATTATAAATATAATAAAAACTATTACAATCTGTGGAATTACAAAAATCAGTTTTAAAAAAAATAAATCTAGTGTGATCATATTAATACCAAGCCAAATTCCTTTACTAAAATATTGCATATATCTGTGTGTGTATGTGTATATATATATACACATATATATATATGGATGACTAGGCACAGTAGATTGTAGTTTGAGGGGAGCCTGGCCAAAAGCCAGACCCCCCCCATCTCAACAAATAAGCTAAGTATGGTGTTGTATGCCTGTTGTCCCAGTTATACAGGAGGTATAGGTAGTAGAATCCTGGTATGAGGCTGACCTGAGCAAAATGCATTACCCTATCTGAAAAATAACCAACAACTATAGAGGAAAGGGCTGGAGGCATGGTTGAAGGGGTAGAGTGCGATTCTAGATGAAAGGTGACACTGGGAGTTCAATCTGTGGCTTTTGTGTGCTTCAACACATTTTAATTCCTTAGGTGAATATTCCTTAGCAGCAGAGCTGTACAGAGAAGTACTGCGCTCATCTGAGGAGCACAAAGGAAAACTCAAAACTGATTCACTTCAAGTAAGTGAAAACTAAAAACTTCAGTTTTATGTTGTGTTTATTTTCTGTAAAATAATTGTAGAAATTGAATGTTTAAGAGAATAAAAGATATCAAATAGGCTGAATCATAATCACTAGAGAAAGCTTAGGGTTTGTTCTTCTTAATAATCACCCAGGATGATTGTGTGTATAATAAAGTTTGAGAATTCCATCTACTCGAGTTAGTGTGGGCAGAAGTCTGAGAAGATACATCTATAACCTATGTCAGAAAAAGTTCTGGTTGTAATCCAGAGAACATGCCAGTTTTATTATTTTTGCATATGAACATCAACTTATTTAGTTAATACAGTTTTCACCACAAAGAAAAAATTAGTTACACTCAGCTATGGAACCAACAAAAATAAAACCTATCCAGGGATCTAATTTAATTTTTAGGGGAATTTGAATATTTCAGTAGTAGTACTTCCTGGATCACAGACAAGCCTTGCTTAGCCACATGGGACCTATAGACCATTTTTATTAATCTTGGCAAGTTTAGACTTGAGTGGACCTGAATTAACTCTGCCATTCAGAATAAAGGCCTTTACCTTTGGTATTTGGAGAAGTATATAACCGCGTGGGGGAAGAGAAAAGCTACAGTAAAGGGCTTCTTACTTTCTGTGTAAGTGAGGATTACAGAAGGCAGGATCTGGACCTTACACACATTTGTTTACCTCATGGGAGAAGGAGGACGTACAAAGAATTCTGCTTCTGAATAAAGAAAACGAAAGTAGAAAAGTGGGCAAGGCAACAGAAAAATCCAGCATGCCTGAGTTCAGGATAGAAGAGTAAGCAATCAGCCTGGTTCTTGCTTTTTTAGTAACAGTGACACACTGACTGGCAAACCCTGGCTCACTGAATCCTCTGTTAGTCAGGTTAGTTGTGCTGTTCTCTTGGAATGAAGCATGTAAGAAATATTGTGTAAGAACACAGAAGGAGACCACAGAGTGTTCTTCCTATTTACTACCGTGTACAGGAAATAACAGCTCTTCCACATGCACACATAGGGGAGTCATTTACACTTTTCCATTTTGGTATTAAATCTGATAGTGCTATTGTTCATATTATCTCAGATAATACAATTTTCAAAACCTAAGACAGTTTAGGTAACTTTTCCAAAGTAGACTTTACAAAGATTTGTACTATGGCCAATAACCTATGGCCTGACAGAATGAGCCACTAAAGCCTCAGATCTCTCAAATCACTGATCAAATCAGATCTTACCAGAACTCTTTCCCAATCATCTTTTAGCCCTTTGGATCCTAAGTAAAATGTTAATTTAACAGCTAGAAGCTACTTTCACTTTTATTTCTTTTTCATAGCTGACTCCAGAGGGAACCTCTTACCAGCAGCTCCTTGTTCCTCTAACATCTCAATTCCAGCTTCTCCCATTTTCAGTCATTAGCTCAACATGCCCAGTCATAACCCTGTCTTATGTATTTGATTATCCTTATTTTTATCTTAATATTGCTATGCTCATTTGGACTCACTTGCTAGAAGAAAAGGAATCAAGTCAGTGCAGTCAACCAACCTTTCTATGTTTCTGGTCTTAACTTGGGTTTCTTACACTTCCCCATGTAGACAAATGGATATTTAATATACTACATATTCTATGTATAAAATAATATACTACATATTCTGCTAAATGCATAACCATACTTTTAACTGTACAATTTTTAATTGAAAAAAATTCACATTATTACGATTTAAGACCTTTGCTATAAAACTGACAGTTTTTTTCTGAGAAAAAAATGGTACTCAAATTGTTTCAGAGGGAACAGTATTTGGTGATATGATCTTAATGAAGAGGTCAGTGCTCTGTATGCCATATTAATAGTAGGTCTAGTTTGGAGTACATTGCATTTCCTGTCATAAGTTTTGCCTTTTGTGTATTTGTAGAGACTTCATGCTACACATAATTTGATGGAACTGTTGCTTGCCAAACACCCGGGGATACCTCCTACCTTGCGAGATGGCAGACTTGAGGAAGAGGTAATTGCTGTTTCTTTTCATTCTGCCTATAAATGTGTATTTTTCAAACTTTATGCTTTATATAGTTGATATTTCCACATTTATATAAATATAACCATGTTTTCCTGTTGCTTTGATATTCCAAACTTTGCTATGGTGACTTTGGATTGCAAAAAATGGCATACTTCCTATTATTTAGCTTGCTTACAGTGTTGTTACCTGGTAACTGTTGTAGATATGGCACTGGTTAAAAAAAAAAAAAAAAAAACCTGATGATCTCATGTAGAACTATGGGAAATGTAGTTTTGTAGTCTTTCCATCTTGCTGTATATTATGTAAGCTAGTAAATATACTCAATTTTTCAGTAGTATTTCTGTCAAAGTTCTGCTACAGTAAGTGTTGCCTCACTGGAAGAAGTGGTATTATAATTATTTCATTGTAAGTTGTTTTTTTATTTTTTTCTTGTTTTGTTTTGTTGTTACTGGAGTTTGAACTCATGGCTTAATGCCTATAAATTGTTAGTAACTTACTATACTAATGCTACCAAGGATTTTTGCCTTTTTTTAAACATCAAATAGGAAAAGCAAAGCTAAAATTATTGAAAGGTATTGAACTTGTAATACAGACTTTATTTGAATCAAGACAAAAAATGACATATAAGTCATTTTGACTGTGCTGATTTTTAATTAAATATTTATTGCAAATGACAAAATTGTGTATATTTATGGTATATAGCAGGGTATGTTGCTTTGTTTTGTTTTCTGAAACAGGGTCTCACTGTGTAGTACTGGCTGGCCTCAAACTGGCAATCCTTCTGCCCCTGCTTCCCAAGTGCTAAAATTACAGGTCTATACCACCACACCCAGCAAGAACATGATGTTTTGATGTAGGTAGACACATTATATCTTTTGATCAACATCTTCCGATCTTTCCGGCCCCAAGCAACCACCATTCTACTCTGTTTCTGAGTTTTACTTTTTTTTAGGTTCTACATACAGCAATTGTCTTTCTGTGCCTGGCTTGTTTCCTGGCTTGCTTCATTTAGTATAATGTCTTCCAGGTTCATCTGTGTTGTTGTAAATAGCAGGAATTCCTTTTTGAAGGCTGAATATATATAAATGTATATATTGTGATCATATTTTCTTTACTCATCGGTTGATGGACACTTGGGTTGATCGTGTATGTTTTGACTAGTATAAATCATGCATCAGTGAACATGGGAGTACAGCTCTGCCTTCAGCATTCTGATTTCATTTTGGATGTAGAAGTTGAATTGCTAGGTCATGTAGTAGTGCAGGTTTTAATTTTTTTAGGGACCTTCATACATTTTTAGAATGACTGTAGCTGTGTACAGGGTTCCCTTTTCTCCATATCCTTACCAACCTTGTTACCTCTTTTTTTTTTTTGATAACAGCCACTCTAATAGGTATGAAGTGATATCTCATTGTGGTTCTAATGTGCATTTCCCTGATGATTAGTGGTATGAAATACCTTTATCAAATTTATATGTTCATTTTCTGTTGTTTTTAGAGAATGCATTTTCAGTTTTAGGGTTATCTATCTATTGAGTTGTTTGAGTTCTTTATGTATTTTGGATATTAACCTATTATCAGATGTATTATTTTCTTCCAGTCTTCATTCTCTTATTGCTTCCTTTGCTATACTTTCAGCTGCACTGTTCCCAATATTCAATGGCAGTCTAAGTGTTAAATTTTCAAGTGAACTTCATTCCCAGTACAGGCATCTAGTTCTTGCTTATATAATCAGTCACTCTTTATTTGAATACCTTCAGTGACACAAAACTGTCACTGGGAGATAGCACAGTCTGTTAGTAGGTACATCTTAATAACCAAATAATTATAGACAAGGAATTGTCATAAAATTAATTGCAAAGTTGTGACAGGTAAAGGAAGAATGCATTGTATCAGGAGCATTCATACCATGTAAGTGTTTCCAAGAAGCCTACCTTACTTCTTTGCCTAATGCTTACAGAACCTAAAGCCACAGTATTTTGAACCTGGACAGGACCCTATACTTCAGCCACCTCCTTTTGCAGATGAAGTAACTGAAGCCCAGAAGAGTGAAATGGCTAGTCCAGAGAGATACATATTCAGTTGAGCCATATGAAATTGCTATTTTTCTAAGTCATAAGTGGTCCAGTACTGGCAATTTCATGTGACTCAGTCCTCTCTGAGTGGAAGCATCAGTATTTTCCCTTCAGTAGTCTTTCCAGTTTTCTTCCCTATGTCCATGGGCTAGCCTCTGACCCCCTGTTTTTATTGTGTTTCTAAAGCCAAGTGAGTATTTCAGTTGCATAGAGAAAGTGAAGAATTTTCATGTTTTCTAATGTTAAGTTTATAAGAATAAAACATTCCTATTTGTATATATTCCTATAGTGTTTTATGCCTATAATCCCAGCAATTTGGGAATTGGAGTCAGGAGAATTACAAGTTCAAGGCCAGACTGGGAATAGTTAATGAAACCTTATCTCAAAACAAAAGGACATGAGTATATTTCAAGGTTAGAACATTTACCTAGCAAGCTCAAAACTCTGGGTTCAGTCCTCAGTAACAACAAAAAAAAAGAAAATATTTTGATTGCTTATAAATTACTTGATCAAAATTCCCTTGAAATAGATGAAAGAATAAGAATTTTGAATCCCCTTTTATATTGGTCTGGTAGGACTGCCATAACAGATTGGGAAACTTAAACAACATACATTTATTTCTCCCAGTTGGGGAGGTTAGAAGTCCAAGATCAACCTGTGTTGCCTCAAACCTGAGGGCTTAGTCTCACCTGAAGGTCCTTCTTTGGCATACAAATGGCTGCTTTCTCCCTATAGCCTCCTCACTTGGCCTTTTCTTCATGTCCCGGTATCTTTCTCTTCTCATAAGGACACCACTAGTCATGTTGGACTAAGGCCTTATTCTTGTGGCATTATTTCACCTTATTTATTGCCTTAAAGGCCCTGTTTCCAACTATAGTCATGTTGGGGGCTAGGGCTTCATCATACACATTTGGTGGGGAGGCATAGTTCAGTCCATAATACCTTTCTTACTATATATTCTCAAGTATTATTTTTAAACCGCAGTAACTCTAAAAATCTGTAATAACTAAATTAGACAAATAATTTGAAAGGTATCTTTTACCTCATATTGTGACATTTTGACGTTTTTTTCCTCCCTTTCATTTTTCTAATTAAAAAAATAGAAAAAAATTTGGGGGACAAGTCTTTGGGATTTCTTAATCCTTAATTGGCTTGGACAGGTCAATTTTGTTCTCTTTAATGTGTGTCTTAGAAATTTCTAGCATGACTTTTGTGTTCTCTTCAGTATCCTTGTAGAGTTTTATGTTTACATCAAATTATGTAACTAAATATGTGAAATGACTACATTTTTCTTGAAGTGCCATATTAACTTATTTTCTAGACCTAGAGTGAAAGTTTATATTATTTTCTATTTCAACACAGGCCAAGCAGCTGCGAGAGCACTATATGAGCAAGTGTAATACAGAAGTTGCTGAAGCCCAGCAGGCTTTACAGCCTGTGCAGCAGACCATAAGAGAGCTCCAAAGAAAGGTACTTTCCCAAGTGCAATGTATTTGCTTGTGTTTTCTCCAGTTATCATTTTGGTTCCTGTTTGGCTTGGAACTTTCTCACCTTGAAATTCTCAACACCTGTTACTATGCCTATCCCATAATACAAATTTATTTGTAGATAGCCATATTTATTGGGTCAATGAACAGAAACATAGATAAATCAACTATTTTGAGGTTCTAGTTTTTGGGGGGTTTTTGTTTTTTTTAAGCTATGGTGGGTTTCCTCTTAGCTTGGAAGTTGTTTTTTGGAGAAAGTAAAGATTTCGTTATCTTCTTTATTTCATCCTAGAGGTATATGATACCAAAATCGCTTAAGATGCTGGGACATTGGAACTACAGCTGTATTTCTTACAGACTGTGCTGCTTGTCCTTTCTAAAGCTCCTGTTTTACAATGTTAGTAGTAAAGTCTAAAGAGGAGACTGCACAAAACATTGTCTTTTACTTTTAAGTTTTTAAACCAGCTGTTCCACATTTCATTCTTCCTAATTCATTAATTGTGTAGTATTCAGGTATAAAGTTTTACTCAGGCATAAAATTTTATTCAGTAGAATCTACTTTAATAGTTACGGATTAGAATGAAGCCTGTTTTTCTTATCCTGAGAAAGAAACTTGTAACACAGCTTTGTTATACAGACTATAGAGTAAATTCTCATTCATCCAGGACAGTCTCTTTAATTATGTATGCAAAAAGGTTTTTATCCAAGGTATACAGATAATATGTATATTTGTCTCCCCTCTGTTATAATCCCTTGGGGAACAGCATGTATTGATTCCTTTGAATTTTTCACATCACCATTTCCAGTTATGGAAAATAGTGGGTACTAAAATAAATATTAATTGATCATCTGTTATATTTTTTTCTACAGATTCATTCTAATTCTCCCTGGTGGCTTAATGTGATCCACAGAGCAATAGAATTTTCTGTTGATGAGGAACTTGTTCAGCGAGTACGGAATGAGATAACCAGCAACTACAAACAACAGACTGACAAGCTTTCTATGTCAGAGAAGTAAGAACATAGTACAAAACAGAATTACCTCAGATATTTAGATCATTTGTTATTAGGAGGTGCAGGTGCAGTTAAATACATGAACATCTTGAGTTTTATAGTTTGTTCAATGCATTTCAAAAACATTAGAAATAAGTCTAAAAGACCCATTTTTTCATATTTTAACTTTTTTTTTTAACCAGTGGCTTTTCTCACCTAAGACCTTTCTCTTCTTTCCCTCTCCCCCTTTGGCAACACTGACATTTGAACTCAGGGCCTCACAATTACAAGGCAGAGACAGATACTCTTAACTGCTTCAGCTACTGCACCAGCATCATTTTTAAATATTCTCTTTTTAGAGCCTTTTAAAAATCTGCTTAAAGTTTTATTGTTGTTGTTGAATACACCCTAGCCAACTTAAGCAACATTTTGAAATGGGTTTTGTCCCTGATGTTCATACTTCCCTTGTGTGATTTGCTCTCTAAGAGCTTAAGCATCCAGTACCACAATGGCCAAGCTTTTATGTTGGACTGACTTACTCTCCTCTGTCTGTCTTCTTATCACACTTACCATTTTTCAGGATGTAAATAGTGAATAATTCTTCCCAGGGGATACTTTTTATAGAAATTATCCCTTCAGTGTTTTAACACAAAGGAATGCCTGTCTAATGTGGAGAATTTCAATATTGTGGCAGAAGTATTGATTCTAGGTAGGGAGACAAATAGAGTATCTTTCATGGTCTCTCAATCACATCCCCATGTCACTTCAGTCTTGCAAATGAAGTTAGTTTTCTGTAAAAAATTCAGCCTAAGAATATTTTTGAAAGGCCTTAATGTATTTTTATTTACCTTCCAAAAACTTCTAAATATCTACTAAAAGAGGTATGTGATATTTTCCTTGTATCTTATTACAAACATCACCTGACAGGCCTCATGTTTCTGAGGTATGTGCATGCTTCCTTTTCCCTGTTAATCCTAAGAGTCAGCGTTCCAAGATAAGCTACCATTTTAGTTGTAATTCATTTTATCCCATTTTAAAACTATATCCTAATTGTATTTACATTATGGAATCAGTAGGAAAGTCCTAAAATTATTTTGAAGTTGTTTTGCTTAAATTGCACAGAAATTACTTAAATTCTTGTATTAGAATATACCCTATTTAAAGTCTCAGGCTATGAATAGCTTAATAGTAAACATAAGACATACCTTCATGTAGAAATATGGTTTTCAAAACATGAGACATTAAGTAGAAGAATAGAAAACATGAATTCCTGTAGGTAAGTGAATTTTTATATTAATGTATGATCAGAATTCATTTTAACACCTTTGTTTATGTTTTTGATGAAATTGATATCTCACATGCCAAATTATTCATGTTTGCCTTTTAGTAATTATTGGGGAAGTCTGTGTAGGTTAGTGACTTAGAGCACAGATGATGTCAGACTCCTGCATTATCCCAATTCTGTCACCTCAGAGCTCTGCGTTCATGGAAAAATTCTTTAAGCTGTGTGCCTTAGTTTCTTCATCTGTGAAATCACACAGCAGCTGTATGAATTAAACAAATTGATATTTGTAAAGCACTCATGTAGAATAGTGCCCAACATATAGTATAGGGTATATGAGCCTACCACTATTGTTTTTTCTTCTTTCATTTAAAGGACTGGTAAGAGAGAACATCGCCAAAATGGGTTAAATGCGGATCTGTGATACTTTTTCAGCTTCATGTACATGTGTCGTATTTGAGTGAGTGGAGAGAAATTTTCCAAATCTATTCTTCCCTTTGCTTTAAAGTCAATATTTGAAGAATAACTTATATTTCTAATTAGTTAGAAATAAAAACCCTATTTTCTTTTTGTAATACTGATACCTTATCTAATTTTATTCAAGTATCTATAAATCTTTTTAGAAATTACTGAGCAGCAATTCTGTACCTGTTATATATGTTTTTAATAAAAGGATATAAGTGATCCATGCTTTCTAAAAGTTAACTCAAAGAAAAGACAAGATCAATGAATAATTTGAGAAATGTGTATATATATGAAAGCTGAATATAATGAAGTACTAAAATGAATATTTTCATGAATTCAGTGGAGAGAAAGAAGCATAGATTAGTGTTGAAGAGTATTAACAAAGGCTTCAGGAAGGATAGAGTCTCTTTTGAACAATCTGAAGAGGCAGTCACATGGCATTTCAGGAAGAAGACATATACTCTATAAATTGCACTTCCTAATTTATCATTATTCATTTTTTCCTTCCATACACCCATACACATATCCACAACTTTTTTTTCCCTCATCCACACTTCATCAAAATGGTTAAGAGCACTATCTGGGGGCTTGAGGGTGTAGGTTAGTGATATTTATCATGTGGGTATATTCCCCATTAATTTTTTTTTAAGTACTGTATTTGTGTTTAACTTCTAATTCTGTCACATAACTTTTATAATAACTTTGTAATCTTAGGTACTTTAATTTGTTACACTTCCTGACAGCAGAATAGAACAATTAAAATTATACAGAAGTACTTGGCAAAGTGTCTGGCATGCAGTAATGTTTAATTTTAAGTTAATTATATTTTTGTAATGAGAAATATGACTATTAGCCATTTCTCTTCTCAATTTTCTGTTTTTATGTTGTATCCTACAGTCATCTCTCTACAGAATTTTATCAGAAGGGAGAATCTATGGTCACGCAGCCTTAAAAAAGGAAGAACAAGGCAATTCTTACCTGTTAAAGATAACTAAGACAGACGTAGATTTTTGCATACTCTTTCAGTTCCTGAGCATTGACTATCAAACTTTTTCAGTATCTTTTGTAATAGACAACTGAATTTCTATACTTTGACTACTAGTAGGTAACATTGGATACAGTCCAAAGGAAAACTCACCCAACTGTGATAAGTGAACGTAGCACATAGCTTCTTTAACACTTTGCTTGGCAATCAATTTTGGAATTTGAAGAGCTAACCTATTCTTTTCGTTGTATTATGTGTGATGCTGGTGATGGGAATCAGATTTCGTGACTGCAGAGGTCTTCAGTTCTTACTTACAACACAAACAGAAGAGCTAAGTAAATTCCAGAAGCTGGTAAGAGAAGCTGTAAAAAACCTGGAAAAACCTCCATCTCGTGAAGTAATTGAGTCTGCAACAGTCTGCCACCTGCGACCTACCAGACTTCCTCTCAACTGGTAGGTAATTAAAGAAATCATGCAGTGAAGTAACATCATTCTAGTAAGCTAGATATTATCTGAAAGAAGAAATAATGACTCACAAAACAAAGCATTTTTCATTTTAATTTTGGACAGGTGTAGAAAGAGATGTATTAAAACAACTCAAAGACTATATATGTGAAAAAACATGATTTTTTTTTCCCAAAAATGTCCTATCTGTTGTAAAGAAAACATGACATAAAAAATACTAATCCTTCTTTAGAAATTATCTGATTGCTGGTTGTGTTTATGAATATTTTTCTGATAATCTTTTTCAGTTGTGTTTTTTGTAAAGCTGATGAATTGTTCACAGAATATGAATCGAAACTATTTTCTAACACGTAAGTTCTCTGTTTGATTTTTTTTTCTCTATTCATTTGTTCATATGTGTAAACATTGTTTGTGCTATTTCTCCCCACTACCTCTGCCCCCTCCCTTTCCCTCCACCCCCTCACTTCCAGGCAGAACCTGTTCTGCCCTTATCTCTAATTTTGTTGAGGAGTAGACATAAGCAATAATAAGAAAGACAGTGTTTTTGCTAGTTAAGATAAGGGTAGCTATACAGAGAGATTCGTAGCATTGCTTCCATGCACAAGTGTGTTACAACCCGAATTGATTCATCTCTACCAGACCTCTTCACTACTTCCCAGTTACCTTTTCATATTGACCTCTGTCATTTTAAGGTTACTGTATCAGCTCCTCTGCAGTGGGACATCAAACACTTTCAAGTTTTGGGTTTCCCACCTTTCCCTATTCCTCCTATATGTGTTCTTCCCTTAGCATGTGAGCCAAGTCTAATAATATTACTGCATTTGTTTTAGATCTAAAGTCCACATATGAGAGAATATACCATTTTTGGTCTTCTGAACCTGTCTAACTTTGCTTAAGATGATGTTCTCCAGTTCCGTTTACTGGCGAATGATAAGATTTCATTCTTCTTCATGGCTGAGTAGAATTCCATTGTGTATAAATACCACATTTTCTTAATCCATTCGTCTGTAGTGGGGCATCTTGGCTGTTTCCACAACTTGCCTATTGTGAACAGCACTGCAATAAACGTGGGTGTGCAGGTGCCTCTAAAGTAACCTGTGTCACATTCCTTTGGGTATGTCCCCAGGAGTGGGATTGCTGGATCTATGGCAGATCTATGTTTACTTTTTTAAGAAGCCTTCATACTGTTTTCCAGAGTGATTGTTCTAGCTTGCATTCCCTCCAGCAGTGTATGAGGGTTCCTTTTTCCCCACATCCTCGCCAACATTTGTTGTTGGTGGTGTTTTTAATGATAGCTATTCTAACAGGGTGAGGTAGAATCTTAGTGTGGTTTTGATTTGCATTTCCTTTATAGCCAGAGATGGTGAGCATTTTTTCATGTGTTTTTTTGGCCTTTTGAATTTCTTTTGAAAAAGTTCTGTTTAGTTCACTTGCCCTTTTCTTTATTGGTTCATTGATTTTGGGGAAGTTTAGTTTTGTGAGCTACCTATATATTCCGGTTATTTGTCTGATGTGTAGCTAACATTTTTCTCCCACTCTGTGGGTGGTCTCTTCAGTTTAGAGACCATTTCTTTTGTTGTACAGAAGTTTTTTTATTTCATGCAGTCCCATTTGTCCATCCTTTCTTCTAGTTGCTGAGCTGCTGGGGTTCTATTGAGGAAGTCTTTGCCTATACCTATTGCTTCCAAAGTATTCCCTGCTCTTTCCTGTACTAACTTCAGAGTTTCAGGTAGATATTAAGGTCCTTGATCCATTTGGAGTTGATACTAGTATAGGGTGATAAGGCAGATAACCACTTTTCCTAGCAACATTTGGTGAAGAGGCTGTCTTTTCTCCATTTTATATTTTTGGCGCCTTTGTCAAAAATAAGGTGGGCATAGCTGTGTGGATTCATAACCACATCCTTGATTCTGTACCACTGGTGTTCTTATCTGTTTTTGTTCCAGTACCATGCTCGTTTTATTGCTGTTGCTATGTAATATAGTTTGAAGTCGGGTATTGTGATACCTCCAGAATTGCTCTTTTTGCTAAGTATTGCCTTGGTTATTTGTAGTCTCTTGTGTTTCCAAATGAACTTTAGGGTAGATTTTTTTGATCTATGTAATGAATGTCATTGTGATTTTGATGAGAATTGCATTAAACATGTAGATTGCTTTTGGTGGTATAGCCATTTTTACTATGTTGATTCTAACAATCCATGAGCACAGGAGATCTTTCCACCTTCTGTAGTCTTCCTCAGTCTCTTTCTTCAGGGGTTTGTAGTTCTCCTTGTAGAGGTCATTCACATCCTTTGTTAAGTTTACTCCTAGATATTTGATTTTTTTTGAAGCTATTATAAATGGAATTGTTTCCATATATTTGTTCTCAATTAGTTTGTTGTTGGTGTACAGAAAAGCTAATGATTTTTGTAAGTTGATTTTGTATCCTGCCACCTTGCTTAAGCTGTGTATAACATCTAGGAGTTTTGGAGTAGAGGTTTTTGGGTCTTTAAGATGTAGGATCATGTCATCTGCAAATAGGGATATTTTGACTGTTTCTTTACCTATTTCTATTTCTTTTATTTCTTCTTCTTGCCTGATTGCTCTAGCTAGGAATTCCAGGACTATGTTGAATAGGAGTGGGGATAGTGGGCACCCTTGTCTTGTTCCTTTATTAGGGGAAATAGTTTCAGTTTCTCTCCATTAAGTATGATGTTGGTATAGGTTTGTCATATGTAGTCTTTACAATGTTGAGGTACATTCCTTCGATTCCTAGTTCTCTTAGAGCTTTTATCATGAAGGGGTGTTGAATCTTGTTGAAAGCTTTTTCTACCTCTATTGAGATGATCAGTGGTTTTTGTCTTTGCTTCTATTAATGTGCTGTATTACATTTATTGATTGGTGTATGTTGAACCATCCCTGCATCCCTGAGATGAAGCCAACTTGATTATGGTGAATGATCTTTCTGATATGTTGTTGGATTTAGTTTGCCATTATTTTATTGCAGATTTTTGCATCGATGTTCATTAAGGAGATTGGCCTATAGTTCTCCTTTTTGAAGGTGTCTTCATCTGGTTTTGGGATGAGTGTAGTACTGGCTTCATAGAATGAGTTAGGCAGTGTTCCTTCCCTTTCTGTTTCGTGGAAAAGTTTAAAGAGAGTTGGTATTAGTTCTTCTTTAAAGTTCTGATAGAATTGATCAGGTCCTGGACTTTTCTTTTTTTGGGAGACTCTTTATTGCTGCTTCAATTTCATTTTGGGTTATAGATCTATTCAGGTTCAATATTCTTGGTTCAATTTTGGATGGTCATAAGTATCTAGAAATTTGTCCATTTCTTCAAGATTTTCAAATTTATTTGAATATAAGTTCTCAAATTAGTCTCTGATGATTTCCTGGATTTCTGTGTTGTTTATTGTTACCTCTCCTTTTGCATTTCTGATTTTACTGAATTGGGTTTTTTCTGTCCTCATTTTAGTCAGATTTGCTAGGGGTCTGTCAATTATTTATTTTTTCAGAGAACCAGCTTTTTGTTTCATTGATTCTTTGTATGGGTTTTTTTGTTTCTACTTCATTAATTTCAACCTTCTTTGTTTTATTATTTCTCTTCTTCTGCCTGTTTTGGGTTTTGCTTGTTCTTGTTTTTCTAGGAGTTTGAGCTGTAGCATTAGGTCATTGATTTGAGATCTTTCTGTCCTTTTAATATATGCACTCATGGCTATAAACTTTCCTCTTAGGACTGCCTTTGCTTTGTCCCATAGATTCTGGTAGATCATGTTTTCATTTTCATTAACTTCCAGGAACCTTATAATTTCCTCTTTTATTTCATCAGTGACCCACTGATCATTGAGCAATGTGTTGTTTGGCTTCCAATTGTTCGCACGTTTTTTGCTGTTGTTTTTGTTGTTGAGTTTTAATTTTAATGCATTGTGATCAGATAGAATGCATGGGATTATTTCTGTTTTCTTATATTTGCTGAGGCTTGCCTTGTGCCCTAAGGTACGATCAATTTTGGAGAAAGTTCCAGTCAGCAAAAGGAAACATAAGACTTGATGTTTGATTATAAAACTGTATTTTCCACTGTGACTGTTGTTTTATTTTTTTCTTTTGTTAAATCAATTCAGTAACCTCTGGCATTTGAGTGTTTAACACACTAGTTTTACCTATATAGAAGTTACCCCTAAATGTTCAAGGTACAATCATAATTATTTGTGAGGCAGTTGAGAGTGCTAAGACCCCATACTCTAGAGTCTGATGGATGTGACCTCAAATCCCTGCCCACTGATATGAGCAAATTATTCTTGTAGCCATTTCGTTTCCTCATTCATAAGTGAAGATAATAACCATTCTTCCTTTATTGAGTTTTTATAAATATTTAATAAGAAAATACATAGAACTGTTTACAAAGTGCTCAGTATATAGTAAATGTCCTATAACAAAATGGTTAACTCTCAATATTAATACCTTTTCTTCAACAGAATGTTCATTCTTTTATGGTGATTAATTTATTTAATAAGTGTATAAAACCATGGTATTAGCAAATTATCTCTGTTTAGCAAACATAGAAATTAAGAAAACACAATGTTCTGATTGTCTCAAAAAGAAGGATTTGATAGTGTATGACCAAAGTATGAGATTTAAATCATAGTATGAGTTTTTTTCCTTTCACTTTCTCTTTCTTTCATGGTTGGTGATAGTGGCAATTTATGTTTGGATCCTTAGAGTGAGATTTATAAGCAAGAATTTAGAGATTACTAGATTATCCTTGATTACGCTCAAGAAACACTAAAGAAATTTTCAGAGTTGCTGCTGGTTTTCCATACATCCACAAGTGTGTTCTTGTAGGCATGACATTGACAGAATTAACAGTTGTCAAAAAGTAACTGACCTTTCTTTCCTATTTGTTCTGCCTGTATCATTCATTGATGGTGCTTATTACCCACTGACATTAGTTGCTGTTGGTATGTTTTCAGAGTCAAAGGTCAAACTGCAATATTTGAGGAGATGATAGAAGATGAAGAAGGACTGGTGGATGATCGAGTACCTACCACCACTCGAGGTCTATGGGCGATAAGCGAGACAGAGCGCTCTATGAAAGCAATACTGTCATTTGCAAGATCACATAGGTTTGATGTTGAATTCATTGATGAAGGAAGTACTTCAATGGATCTCTTTGAAGCATGGAAGAAGGAATATAAGGTACAGAGAATTGCAGAATTATATATAACCACATTCTTAAGGAAAAAGACAAATGATAAATTAGGAATAGTGATTACTCCATCATTTGTCACTGAAGAAGGAAAATGAATGATATAATTAAAGCTTTCCAAGGAATTTGTCTTATTGTCTTTTCTTAAATTGGATGGTGGGTACTCAGTTGTATATTTTAGTATTTCTTATTGCCATATTTACATATTACTTTGAATATGTGAAATATGATCAAATAAAAATATTTTAAAGCAAAGCAAAGATCCCATCAGTGTTGTATTAATTTCTAAAGATCTTTGGCCTCACCAAGAAATCTTTGAGTTCTAAGAAATCTTTTGTTCTAAGAATCTATAGAGGCAGTATCCTGTAGAAATTATTCAGTCACATTTCTTCATCCTAAAAATGGGCTAAAGAATTGCTTGTTCCTTAGATACTTAATGAAAAAAAGGAAATATTATTAAAGCCTTTCGCTCAAGCACATCTTAGCAGTTTTAACCAATTTTAATTCTGTGCTTTACCACTGTCTTTTGTCTTTTCTTTCAGTTGCTTCATGAATATTGGATGACGCTGAGGAACCGTGTATCTGCTGTTGATGAACTTGCAATGGCTACAGAACGACTAAGAGTGCGACATCCTAGGGAGCCAAAGCCAAATCCACCTGTTCATCATATCATTGAACCACATGAGGTAAATTATGAGGGAATCCCAGAAAAGGGCACAAGAAGTTGATTCCACAAAAATCCAAGACCCACAGAAAAGGTAGATTGAGAGCAGTGGTCTCTTCTAAGTGTGTGTTTCATTTCTAGGCATGACCTAAGACACATGAAATTGTTTTTGAAGGTCTAAAAATGAGCAATTTCCTATCTAATCTGTGCTTAACATCCATTGTTTAGATGATGTTATACAATCTCTGTTTTTGAGGACTTTTCTGTGGACCAAATCCTGTTCTTGCTCACTCTTTAGACCTGCTTTTTATTACTTCAGCTTTACCAGAAGTAGAAAAATCCTCCTAAAGTATACTTTTACAGAGTTTTTCTCTTGTTAATGGTAAGTATTTACAGCTTATCCTCTAATTAATTCCTCTTTGTGTCTCAGGATTAAATTATAACTCCACAAATTTTTCTATTCCACATTGAAAAATATTTCCTTTATAATTTATTTTATCTCTTGTGTGTGTTTAATGCTTTAAATCTTTTGCTATCTGTATAGCTCAGAGACTGTAACTTAGGAAAAGCAAATTCCTCTTACTTGAATTCTCCTTTCTGCTGCATTCTATCTACTTGGGAGAGGGGATGAAAGGGCAGGCTCATTGTTCCTGTGAATTTTGTCTTCTGTAAAGCAAAAGAAGTCCTACCAGAATATCTTACCTAGTGCAATTTTATAAATTGGAGTTTTGATGTAAAAATAGTTTCTCATAAAACAGACACATTCGTATTATTGAGGAAGAATTGTGCATATTTCATATAGTTGAACCATCTTTCTGAGAGAGAATAAAGAAGATGTTTTATTTGTCTTTAGGTAGAACAAAATCGTATAAAGCTACTGAATGATAAAGCCGTTGCTGCATCACAGCTTCAGAAAAAACTTGGACAGCTTCTTTACCTAACTAACTTGGAGAAGGTATTTTTTTAAAAGATACCGCTTTTTTACATACTATATTACCATAAACCACTTTAGTGACTTCTTTCATTTAAAATGTCAACCTGTAATTAATACTATAGATATTTTAATTGATCTTTTATTTGTGTTAGTCATTTGAGCCAAAACACTGGCCATGTCTACAATAGCTGCACAGATCACAAAACATATCTGTAGAAATTGCACAGATGTTTTGAAATGCATGCACTGCATTGTAAAAAAAGAAAAAAATGATGTTAAGAGACTATACTTCAAAGCCCTGAGTAGTGATATTAAAGCATACCTCTAGGTAAAAAAAATCACATTTTTTACACAACATATACACATGCATTCAATTATACAGAATAGATATTTTTAGTTTGTTCTTTGAAACTGTGAAATGTGTTTGGAAAGCTAGTAAGTCAAAAGAAATAATAATAAAGTTAGCGTTCAGCTGTTTTCTGAGCTGGGATCAACATGTTATATCACATTTATGAATTGATGGGTCATTGACAAATATAATTCTGTTTTATTTAAGAATTCATAGTTTATCAATTAGCAGAGCATCTTATCAGAACTAGAACTAGTAACTACATAGAAGTGTTTTTCTTTGAGTGCTGTAGTAGTAGACTGGCATTTTTAAAATGCTGGAAGAAAAATTTGTTAATCTAGAATTCTACACCTAGAGAAAATATCAAGGAGGAATTGATGGAAGGACGGAGAGAGGAAAGAGGGACAGATGGAGGAAGGAAGGAAGGAGAGATAATTTTTAGATAAACAAAAGTTGAAAAAATTCATCTTTGATCGAGCTACAACAAATATTAAAATAAATACTTTGGACATAAAGGAAAATTACCCCAGATTGAAGGATGGAACTAAAGGAAGGAATAAAGAGTCAGGGAAAGCTTAAATATGTAAGTAAATATGAAAGAATATTGACTATTAAAGCAAAAGTGCTGTTGTGTGAGATACACAACATATATAGAACTAAATTTATGATGATAGCACAAAGGAAGGAGGTAAGCACAGGTAAACTATTGCAAATTTCTCTGTACTTCAGAGAAATGGCCAAAAAATCTTTAAGAATGTCACACATTTGAACACTTTGAACAACCATGGCCTAATTGACACAGACTACTATACCCAACAACTTCAGAAAATACCTTTGTAAAGGTGTACATGAGACATTTACTAGAATTGGCTTATGCTGTTTCAAAAAACAATTCTTAAAGTTTTCTAAGGATTAGAATTGTTTAAGGCTATATTTGCTGAGTAAAGAGAAATTGAACTAGAAATCAATAATGGAAAGATAACTGAAATCCCCAAATTGGAAATTAGCTAACTTTAAGTAACCCATGGCTCAAAGAATTGCACTGGAAATTACAAAATATTCTGAACTGAGTGAAAGTGGAAGTATTTGACAATATGCAGTTAAGCCATGCTTAGAGGGAAATTTCTAAGTATTTTAATGTTCAAATAAAGGGAAAATGTATAGCTTCAAATTGAGGATTTGCAAACTACCGTACATAGGACATACCTACCACTTGTTTCAGTAAGTAAAGTTTTATTGGAATACAGTCACATTCATTTAATCACCTGTTGTCTGTGGCTGCATTTCACACTCTAGTAGCAGAGTTGAGCAGTTAGTTGCAGCACAGACCATACGGCCCTCAAAGTCAAAAATATTTATAGTATGACCCTTACAGAAAAAGTGCCAGCTCTTTGTTTAAACAAATTAGTTCAAAAGAGAATATCACGAGTTATGTTTGGTTACCAGTGATTGCAATAATGTCCCTCTAGGGCTGGTGGGGTGTCTTAAGTGCTAGAGCACCTGCTTAGCAAGCATGAGGCCCTGAGTTCAAACCCCAGTACCACCGCCACCACCAACACCAAAAAAGCTGTTAATGTCCCTCTATGTGTACATACCCTAAGTAGTCCTCTCCCATACTTACCCAAGGCTTGGTCAGATGATTTACTTGACCCTGTGACATAAGGACCTGAAAAGTCCACACACTTCTGGGTTCTCACAGTCTTGTTGCTCTTTGGAAGCCTAAAACTATGTGAAGAAGCCCAGATGAACTTTCTCTTGAGATCTGAGCCCTCCAGTCAGCCTCTGTCCTCCTTCCCTTGACCACCTAGCCTACCAACTGCTAGACATAAGAGGTGGCCAGCCATCCCCAGCCCAACCAGCCCAGACTGAAATTACCAGGTGACCTGCAGAACCTTCAGAAATAGATGTTTATTTTAAGCCACTACATTTTATGTATGTTTGCTGTATGTTATCTGAAAAAGAAATCAGTAAGTAGTTTAATATTCAACTTTTTAAAATGTCTCCATACTTCCATCTTAGCAGTAGAATTATTTTTCAATCCTTATAGGTGCTAAATATAGTACAATTTTTTGTTTTTGTTTTTTTCTGTTACTACTTATAAATCAAAGGAAAACATTTTTTAATGTTTAACTATTTGGTCAGTGAAACTAGGAATAAAAACTTTAGTGATTTTTGACCCAATTTACTTTCCTTCATGTTTCCTCAGTTTCTTGTCCATTTTGGTAAATTTTTTATTGTTTTATTTGTCATTTTTTATATTTTGATGGGACTGGAGTTTGAAGGTAACTTTTTTAAAGCTCTTTCAATTTTTATAAAAATTTTCAGATTTTGAACAGTTATTATATTCTGATATAATATCCAGGCCTAGAGAGCTCATATCAATAATATTTCTATTTTCCAGTTGTTTGTCTTAATGAAATTAGGAAAAGTCTGCCAAGAAGCAGTTAGTAACTCTAAGGCACCTCGTCCCCTGCTTCTGATCCTGTGCCTAATGGATATTGCATTATAAGTGCACATTTTCTCTACAATTTTACTTCAGAGTTCAAACATAAGTATTTTTAAGTAATCTTTATTTCTTTTTAGCAAAATAAACAAATAGCCTGAAATTAAATTTTTGAAAATTTTGCTATTACAGTTTGCTTTTAATTTTGCATTCTATTATAAACACAAGTATAGTAAAATGGTAACTTAAGCTGTAACAAAAATTGTTTCCAGTTTTTGTTTATATCTTGGGTAAATTCCTTTGTAAATCCCATGAATAATAGTATTAGGTAATATATAAAGTACTAGGTCATCTCAGTAGTTGCATTATTTAAATAGCAATTGCCATAATTTAATAATTGCCATAATTGCAAAGCATGTAGTAGGTTTTAAATGTAAAAATGTAACTAATATTTTTTGGATTCTTCTTTTTTTGCATAGTCTCAAGACAAAACATCAGGAGGTATTAATCCAGAACCTTGTCCAATCTGTGCTCGACAGCTGGGAAAACAGGTGAAACTACAATTTCATATGATGAATCACATGTATTTATAAAACACCTTAGAATTTTTAAAGGCTTCTGCATACAATCTTCTTTCCCCTCTCTCCTTTCTCCCTTTCTCTCCCCCTCTTCTTTTTCCCTCCCTTTCTCATGATAACTATGTATGAAAGATATTAATTACCTCCCATCTTAAAGGTAAGACCCAAGGCAAGGCATGGTGGTTCATGCCTATAATCTCAGCTATGCTAGAGGTGTAGGTAAGAGGATCTTGGTCCTGGTTAGTTCTGAGCAAAAGGTTAGTAAAACCCCATCTCAACAAAAAAGCTAGGCAAGGTGTTTGCGCCAGTAATTCCAGCTACACAGGACGAAGATCACAGCCCAGGCTAAGCCAAGACAAAAACATGAGATCATATCTGAAAAATAAGAGCAAAAAGGGCTGGGGGCATGACTTATGTGGTAGAGCACTTGCCTGAGGTCAAACACCAGTACCACCAAAAATTAAATAAGTAGGACCCAAGGTTTTATGTGAAAAAATATTTCTAGAAGAACCCTATCTTTTTAATTAAAGATGCATAGTTTTGTACATATTTCCAATCATAAGATTGTTTCCAGGTAATTTATTTTTGCCAGATTAACATGCTTTTTGGCAGTTATAGAAAAATAATATAGCATATATACTGAAGGAGGCAGTAAGTGACATAGCAAGGGCAGAATGACATTGTTCTTAGCATTATTAATATTTCATAACATAGGCTTTAAAGTACAAATAACATCTCTTCTAGGGGAATTCAGATGTGACTTTTAGAAGATTGTTATAGTGGTTAAGTATATTTTCTTGTGAAATTTAGCATACAAGTGTCTATTAACATGGGGGTGCAGTATCAGTTCTCTGAGAGGTTCATTTTTTATCCTACCACCTGTGATTTATTCCTGCTTCACTAATGTCAGTAAAACAATATCAGAATATTCCTTGCTTTTCAACATTTGAAAGATAAGCCAAGACCTTCTAAACAAGTATTCTTGGCTTTTATCCCCCACTATGGAACTGATTGCAGAAAGTTAAATATGTGAATTACATATTCTGACCAGAAATAATCAGGAAGAAAGAACCTCCAGCTCCACAATTTATGGAGAAAGGCAAATTCTCAAAGGACACTTTATTTAATTATAAATCTTAAAAGGAAGGATAGCTATACATTGAGCAGCAGAATAGTAGTGGTAGAATGTGTGCCTAGCATCCACTATAAGCTTACACAAGGCCCTTTGTTCACCAGCACCAAAAGACAAACAAACAAAACAAGGTGGGGGGGAAGGCTCATTACACATAGAGTTAGAGCTGTATCTTATATCTTTTTTGACATTAGTTTTGATGATATCCATACCATTGAATTGTCTCTGAAATGTTATATCATTTCTGTCTCTTAAACAGTGGCAGCTTTTAAATTTCTTCCACATACATTGTTTCATTCAATTCTAGAATACACATATCTCCAATTTTTAGAAGAATATATGTACTTTTCAAACCCACAATCTGTAGGAACTCTATATTCTTTCTCCTTAGCTTCCTCATTCTCCTCCTCCCTTACAATCTAGGTCTATTAAATTAGAATCTGTCAGAAATGGCTCATCTCTGCCTATGCTGCTGGAGGCACTGCCATTTGTCTGTTCTTCTGTTGGGGCCTCCAGTTAATGTCCTGTTATTCCTCATTCTCAGATGTAGATTAGCATCAATGAATGCTCTTTGATTTTTTTCTCCATTCTGGATATAGATAGGCTTCCCTTGCTCTGTGTTTTGTCCTTCTGAGCTCCCATTAGTCCAAGAAAAGTTCTCTCAAGTAGAAGAAGGACACCTCATCCCCAGTGGTACTCAAGGTACACAGGATTCTGTCAGGCAAGCATGCTAGTGAGATTGTCTGCAGCTCCTGAGAACTCTGGCACAAACTCGTGAGAGCAGAGGTGTCCCTAGAGAGAAACGATTTCTAGTCCCCCTGTAAAGTACTTGGGTAGGCCCAGCTACACATTGTCATTCTATACAAGTCCATACATGTCCAAATTCTAGAAGAAACACAGTTGAGAACTGAGGAGCCTTTATACTCATCACACCACTTAGTTTTCATTGTTACTGGTTTTAACAGGTTAAAAAAAATTAAGTAATTTTCATGAAACGTCATAGCTTTAGAGCTGCACCTAGACTCAATCTAATGTTTTTCTATCCCCTATGGCCAAAGAGAGGTACTCCAGAGATTCGGTTTATTATTTTTCTTTTCTTTAAATAGGACAAGAAGTTTCCCAAAAGCATCTTTTTGTTTGAGCCTTTTTTTTAATGTATCCAGAACCACTTTTGAAATGAATTAGAAATACTAGCTTATCTTATTTACTATATAAATGCTTTAACATGTAAAAGAAGAAATCTGCTTAATAAATTTAATATATTGAGTATATTATCTACAAATTAATGTTCTCAGTTCCTTTATTACATCTGCTGTTAGGATGTTAAAAGAGTAATTTACATTCTTTCTAAATCTGAAATGAGAACACCAACTTCTTACAAAATAATGACTAAGTGACTATTTTTAAGGGTGAGTAGAACTAAACTCTTCTGAAAACTTGCTCCCTTTAGACTAAAAAATAATTAATTTAAAAGCACAACTTGGCTTTTATGACTTAAAGAATATTAATGTCATGAAATATTTAAGGAAGTGAAATTGTCTTTTCTCCTTTTTATTACATTTATTTTGGAAGGTGTCTTTGATAGCATCTCACTGGGGCTTACTCTGCATTTTCTTTTTCAGTGGGCAGTGCTGACCTGTGGGCACTGCTTCTGTAATGAGTGCACTTCAATTATTATTGAACAATACAGCGTCGGGTCTCACAGAAGCTCCATCAAATGTGCCATCTGCCGCCAGACCACGTCACACAAAGAAATCTCATATGTCTTCACCTCAGAGAAAGCAAGCCAGGAGGAGGACATCCCTGTGAAGGTAACGTAGGTCAAGAACACTTAGAAGCATAGTTAGAGCAATATAATAGGAACCAGTATCTGAGCAGGGAAAGAATGATAGTCAGAAGAGCTGACACAGTGAGTGCGTAGAAACCACTGTTACTATAAATGTGCCTCAGCTTCACCACCTACGTTGTCACTGGGGAGGAGCACAACATCCCTCAGACAAGGTTAGCCACAGTCACAATACTATGGCGAAAAGGAACCTCATTGCCCTGTCATCGTTACTATTTCTGTTCTACAAATAGAGTTCTGGTTAAATTAGATATTTATTTAAAGAAAGCCTTTTCTTCATTCCTTACTCAATCCTGGATATCAGAGAATAAAGGGTGTGCCCAACTAGACTGAAGGAAAAAATAGATTGTGTGCTGACATTAGTGAACATTGCTACAAGAACGACATAATGTGCTTTTAAACACCGTAGACTGCTATTTAACAGTACAGCCAAATGTGAATTTATTTTCCTAATTTTTTCCATACTTCATTCAGAATCTTAAAGAAATTACTAATTAGAGGTACAAACGAGATCCATAATTGGACTTTCTACCCAAAGAGTATTAATTTATGAAAAGCTTTTCTTTTTTTTCTCTTTTTAAATCTAATATATTTTTATTAAAACATCAGACAAATCAAGATGTAACTGTGGTGGGGAGTACAGTCCTCAAGAAGTAGTTTAAGAAATGGCAAGGCTAGCTCTTCAGCAAGAATAATTTTCTTCATTAATTCCCTCTCTTTCTGGTTTCTTGATTCTTCTCACTCACCTTTAAAGAATGTGTTTTATGTGTAGAATTAGCTGTAAGTTCAAATTTACTGCCAGGAATTAGGCAGCTGTTAGGGTTCCCATCGCCCCAAGAAAACTACAGTTGAATTAAAAAATTTTAATTGTTTTTTCCCCCCACTGTTGACGAAAACTTGAGTCACATTGTTCTCTGATGTGTTGGATAAACAGACTCACGAAGTTGAGATGTACTTTTATTTATTTATTCACTCCTTACGTACTTATTGCACACATCGTGTGCCAGAGTGCTGGTTCTCACAGATACAGTGCACTTTCATGGGTAAAGCAGGGGTGGTTGCTGTCCCATGGATTTTATAATTTAGCAGTATTCGGGGAGGAGTTTGAGACAAGAAGTACAGACATTAAACAAATTTTTTTTCCTTTTTCATATATTCATATGTGCATACATTGGTTGAGTCATTTCTCTCCCCTGCCCCCAATTCCCTCCCTCTCCCCCCTCACCCTCTTCGCTTATAGCTATGGCAAGCACTACAAAAAATAAAAGCAAAACTGGTTTTTCTGAGAGAATAACTGTTAAACAGATACAGTATCTAAAGGATGAATGGATTAGCCAACATTCGAAGAGGATGGGAGTGATCTTGTAGGAGAAAGCTCCCAGACACACCCATACAAACCCAATATGTGAAAAGACCTGAGATAAGAATGACTCAATGCAACTGAGTGGCTGCAGTGCAGAAAGCAAAAGTGAGAGTAGAGGTGAATGAGTCCATGGACCAAAGTGGAACCAAGCATTGAAGGGCCATCTGAAAGCTTGAGAATTTTATTTCCACCTAAGCAGAAAGCTATTAAATGTTACAAACAAGGAAGAATCATGATTAGGTTTAAATTTTTAAGAGATCCCTCTTGCTGCAATGTGGCAAATAGATTAAAGGTATAAAAAAAAATAAAGTAGAGAAAAAAATTGAAGAAGCCTGTTTAGGAAGCCACAGCAGTTGTATTGGTGGCTTTAAGACCATTGGTAGAAACATAGAGATGTAGGTATATTGAAGAGATATTTAGAGTAAAGTCAATAAATTAGAATGTTGGAAGCATTGCTAAAAATGGAAATTTCATAGATGATCCACCATTGAAGTGATGAGAGGATCATGACCTAAGGATCATCTAGTCCCATTCCCTTCTGAATCCCCCGGATAAATATGTATTTTAAAGCAAATGAGAAAGTTGTTGGAATGAAGAAGTAGGTGTCCTCTGGAGCAATCCACTGATGAGCTTTGAGGTATTTGGTGGTCACTCTTTATCCTGTTCACCACTCAAAGATCTGTTGTGCTGCCCAGTCCCCTTCCCACTTTCTTCACACTCCTATAATTCTCTCTCCATTCTTTCCCTAAATATCATCTTTCTTAGCTTGTTTTTGTCTTCTGTCTCTTATTCTGGCTCCAGGCATTCCAGGAACCACAAGTGGCATTCATTACTAAGAAGAGGCAGCTCAACCTTAAATGGTGAAAGCATTCATCACAGTACAAGGACCCAACATGAAGCAGAACTGCTGTGTCAGGCTTCATGCAGTGAGGTTAAGGAAGGGATTGCACTAGCCTCAGTAAACAGCATTGCCTCTGTGAAACTGAGTCATTCAGCCCATCAAACCAAAACACCTGTTCATTTTGTGGCAACTTTCCTAGACACCCAGGACAGTTAACATTTGCTGCCTTGATGAGGCAGTGATGTCAATGTTGAAATACTGTTTATTATTCTCTCCTTCCTGGCTTGTCATGGGTGTTGATGAACACATGAATTGAAGCATCTTATTAAAAAGTTATAAGAATGTAAACTTCACTTAAGTTATTAATTCCTTCTTGCCATTGATACATATATACTTATGTTTCCTTCTTATTAAACACCTGATTGAATTTTTCACCCATTACACAAACAAGTCTTATCCCTCCTCCACTTTCTCACATTGCTTCTTGCCACATTTGTGTCTGCTTCTCACTCCCTTTTTCTGTCACCATTTGTGTCTGCCAGTTCTGCCTTTTGCTACTGTCAGCTTTTGTGACTTCTGCCCTTAGTGTCTGTGGCTTTCTCTTTAAAGCATTTGTTTTAATGTATTTTCAGACTTCACCTCACTCTTGTGACTCGAAACTTCCCCATTAAATGGTTTTATCACCCATCTTGGAGGGAAAAAAGACTTGATCACATAGAAAATAAAAATGAATCTATATAAATAATTAAGGTGTTTTCAGATTTTGGAACTAGGGTTCACACTGTTCCAAAACCTAGGGGTATTTTTCTTTTATGTTATTGTTGATTACAAAAACCTTGATGCTTAATAAATTATATTGAGAAGTAATTTTTTTGTTTCATTGAAGTTTTTGTTTTATTTAAAATGTTTATGTTGATGTTATGCTTATGTTATGTTCATGTCAGGACTTCTGTACCTATCAGACAATATAAAGTGACAACATACATAGGGCTTACTCATAACAGATGTTAGATAAAAAATATTTGTAAAATATAAAAATAAATAATCTTTGGGATTTTTTTCCAGTGAGAGTTTTGAAAATTAGAGATTTCACAGTGTAAGGAATCCTACTGATTGACCACAGAAATAAAACGAACATTGAAATCACAAGTGTCCCTTTGGTAGATGGATCTACAGACAGTATCCTCTTAACAACAGTGTGACCATATTCCTAAGTGACCTTGGGAGCCTACTGGGCATTTCACAAAGTAAACAAAATTCCCCCTTGCAAGTTCTGACGACTGCCAAGCATTTTGGATGGTGAAGTAGGTCTTCTGGCAGAACATACCCATCACGTGGCTGGTTCCCTGTGTCCTGTGTTTGGCTAGGTTTCATATAGAGCATTTCTGACCATGGAAACCCTGACCCTATAATGTGCAAGAATCTTATGTCATAAGAAACTTCTGTCCAGAACAAAATATTCTATGTAATAATGGCCACAGCAAAACACCCTCCCCACCCCTCACCAGCACCTCACACATACACAATTCATCTTCTCAAAATTTGGAGTGGCTTGCTTTTAAAATTACAGTTTTGTCAGGCCCCACCCTCATAAATTTTGATTCATAACCTATAGATACGATCCAGGAACTATATTTAATAAGCAAATCCATTGAGGTCTTATACAGGCTTTTTGTAGAGAAAGTGTTGTGTCTGTGAACCCCCAGAGAAGCCTAGCGATACTGCGCACAGAGTAAACTCCCAGAGAAGCCTAGCGGTACTGCGCACAGAATTCTGTGTGAGATCCTTTTCTTTTTGAGGTTTGATTCAGTTCAGAGGAGACTTGTGTCATCTGTCTCATACTTTTCAAAATGTAATTAAAATAAGCATCTAGATAGAAAAACTGGTCATGAAATTCTGATTGAGTTTAGAGTAGGCATAAAACAATTTGATAAATGTAGTCCACAAGTGGTTACATTTAAATATATATATAAATACCTAAGATCTAACATGCATCAGTATTAACTGGCACATTTACAATGCAGTTGTATGTTTTTGTTAGCTGTAGCTTGCAGTAAACTGAACACAGACTAGAGACTTCTAAGACATAACCTAGAAATTACCTTTATAGGTTATGAAATTATGAAAAACTTAGCCTTCTGTGCAGTGTAAACTCCATTAAAATACAGAGGCATTGTTCATGAGGTAGGGCTTTGCTTTATTCAGTGCTGGACCCTGAGCACCTAGAGCAGTGCCTGGCATATAACAGGTACTCTATGAGTGTCTGCATGGATAAACAATTCAATGGTACTTACATAAAATACCTCTAAGAGCCTTTTGATTCAAATAAAAGCTCTAACTTTCTTAACGTTGCTATTTTATGTCTGAGATAATTTTGGAAAGTGTTTAAAAGAATAGAATAGGATTATTGTGGCCTAATACACTTGTAAGATTTCCCACAATGTAGGGGAAGTTTGCACAGAGCTTTATTCAAGTGACTTGTACATGGGTGAAGAACGCAGTTGTTTGCCCCAGTCATATGCTTGAAAAGTACTCCTGCTTTGTGGGACCAATTACACATGCCTCATAACTGCACTAAATTGTGTCTGTCACAACAGCCAGGGTTTTTAACATGGAGAGCAGGTGCAAACAGAAAGAAAACAATGTTAACTGATCTTACTTAGCTAAAACTGCTGTGGGCAATAGGCATTTTGAAGGAGTTAGTTTTATTTCAAAAAATAAAAAGTCCAGAATAAAAGTAATGAAAGTCAGAAAATGAGAA